GTTTACCTGCTGCTCGATCAGGAGCGCGACTCGACGCTTACTTTGCTTTGAAAGAACGAATGAGCAACGAACAGCCAAGCAAGCAAGCAAGCAAGCAAGCAACGTGTGCGAGAGACGAGGCCGAGAAAACGGAAGAAAAAGAGAGAGAGAGAGAGAGTGTGTGTGAGTAAGATGAAGAGAGGGAGAGAGTGAGGAGAGAGGGATGAGGAAGAAAGAATCAAAGGGGGTCTCTCAAAACGAAGGGGATGGGGAGCGTGAACGATGGGGGGCCTATGGTGGAATGGGTAAGGCTTATGAGAGGTGAGAGGGGGTGGTTATGGCGAGAGAGGGACAACTTCGAACAGGTGAGAGGTTTTACCTGATGATGGTGGTGGGGTTTGAAAGATAGAAAAAGGGAGGGAGAAAAGTTGTACAACGTTGCCAACTTGTGGTGCTCGTCGAAAGATATCCCATCTAGGATTCATACGAGTTACGTATGTTGTCTACTCTACTAACGCGTGTCTTCTTTCTCTCTCTTTCTATCTATCTATCTATCTACCTCTATCTATGTTTATTTTCTTTTTTTTTTATTTATTTTTTTCTTTTTCCATCTCTGTTTTGCGCGCACGTCTTATCTATACATTCCACTTCATTGATACCGCAGTAAAAAGACTTTCACGAGGGATTCGTGATGATCCATCGAAATGTAAAAAGGGGAAATATAAATACGATACATCGATACATTTATTTTCAAACGTATAGAGTCTCGGTCCAAAGTGTTTCACGATTTTTCTTGGTTTTAATATCGGATTTTTGCTTTTAAGAAAAAATTTTTTTTTTAAAATAGTATATATATATATATATATAGATATTATAATGTTATAAGAGAATTATTATATATGTTATATCATAAGAGATATTATAAGAAATATTAGGCGAATGATATCATCGTGAATGTTTAAACTTTTTCGCTATGAGATCATTGCTGACGTGATAAATGTTTTTTTTTTGTTTTCTTATAGTAGAAATACTCAAGTTAGTCATTTGCTAGACTTTTAATTCGATTAATCAAACAAATCAGTTGAAATTAATTTAATTTTAAAATGTTTCTCGAAGTACCCGCGTTTACTCGTTCGTTTTAACATATTACCGAGATATTCTAACTTTTCCTCTTGATAATTGTATAATCAAATTTATTTCGATTAAATTCGTTATACCTTTTTTAAAATTGAAACTTTTAATTATTAATTATTTATTCATCAGAATTGCATACCCTTCAGAGATAAATTAATTAATGGTAAAAATTATTTTATTCCTACGTGAAAACTTTTAAATACTAATCAGTCTTCGATAATTAAATCTCATCGAGAAGCTTCTATCATTTTGAAAAAAAGGATTCTGTGAAAAAAGTTTTAAATAATAATCAGTCTTTGGTTATTCGATCTCATCGGTCAAGCCATATAAAATTTCAAAATAATAATTTAATATTTAACAATGATTTCGAAATAATACGTCGTATTAATTTGTAAATCAATGTTTAACAGACATTAATCACGAAATAACGTTAAAACTTTACCATTACATACTTTTTCACTGTTTTCACATAACCACCACCACCACACTAGTTCACTCATTGTCAGCAGTGATGACGTTGTCTCGTTAAAAGATGGAAACGTAAAGTGGTGGAAGCCCCCATTCAACCGAGGAAAGTGTACTTACACACACACACACATATACCTTCGAACCGTTTGAAAGAAGGATTGACATTATGAGAACGTGTTAAAGGCAGTGACCTCGAGACAGAAATTCTCTCAACAAAATCTTTGAAAAAGATTACAATTTTAACATAAAATAAAACAAGAAAACAGAATAAGAATATAATTAAGAATAAAAATTGACCGATCCAAAAAACGCGAATCCTATTGTTCGAAGAAAAGAAGAAAAAAAGGATTTAAATGAATCTTATACAGATGCAAATTCGTTACGCAAGAAAGCAGAGTTTCTCAACCAAACGTGTCGGTTGAAATATTTTTAATAGGTCGCAAAACTTTAGCTGCAACCTTGCGTCAAGACGAAAAACCGGTTAAATGATTTTAGGCGTATAGAAAGATTTATGTCGTGATAATATTACAAACAACATATATATATATTTTTTTCTTTTTATACGATTATTTCAACATATTTATGTTAGTATCGTGTTGCAAAAATAAAATGATCGATGAATGATTAATATTTATAATAATTGACTTGTTGAATCAATGATAGATAAGTTTTCTAATCTAACGAATAAAACGTTTTAATGTGGACATTAGTGGGTTTGGCAGTCTGATAGAAAATTTCTTTGTATATATATATATATATATATAGGTAGGTGGTACCTACGTTGTAAAGGAAACACGAACGATTAGAAAGCCACGAAAGGCTTGACTCAGTTAGATCACGACGTATCTTTTCCCGCGAGGAGAAACTCGCACGAGTAACACTTGCTCCTCCCTTTTTCCGGAATAGAAGAACGGACCCGTACTCGCGACTCTCTAAATTATGATTCATTCACTCGATGAGTCACATCCCGCCGATTTAAAGATACTACAGACAATAAATTGTCTAACCAACTTGTAGCTAAACCGCAAAATTAAAAAGAAAATAATAATAATAATACATTAAGTTTCAAACTTCTCGAACTTGAACCACTTCCAACTGAGATCTCATTAATTGCACGAACACACGCGTAAAATGCAAATATGCAAAAGACGGGAAAATAATACAAACACGAGTAGAAATAAAATAGATCATACATAGAAAACTTGAAATCTATTAGTGGAGTAACGTGAAATAATATTTAGCATATCAATGAAAGTTGACTGTCAATTAAAATTTAAATTATTATATTAATGTGTATAGAAATAATTTATCGAGCTGTTCAATGTAACAAGTAATAATATGAAAAAACTTGATTATCAATAAATTGCTACATTTGCTTAAATAATAATAAGAAGAAGAAGAAGAACTTGCAACTGCAACTGCACATGCAACTGCAACTGCACATGCAACTGCAACTGCAAATGCAACTGCAACTGCATTTCTTTTTTATTATATATTTTTTAACTTTTTAACTGCAACTGCAACGTTGCCTATTTTTGACTGGCCTATTAGAACACGTTTGGTATTCTTCTTCTTCTACTTTGTTAGATCAAAAAATCGATCTCGTGTAAAAAGATTTCTCGCACGTCGGTAGGAATAAGGAGAGCTCTCCTCTTTGAATCTATCGTTCGCGCTTATCTTCGAACCGGTTTGATCGAAGGGAAGGATCATTCTCTATACTTCTTAGAAGAGGATTAGTTTGTACTTTCGTATACGTGGACCCTTCTTCTTCTTCTTCTTCTTCTTCGTCGGCTCTTTTTCTTACGAGTGATCACTGACAAAGGGGAATCGGTTCGAGACGATATACTTCGGAACCTAACTTCTTTCCAAACGAACAATGACGGCCTAAACGACGGCCCTTTCTTTTTTTTTTATCTTCGTTCAACTACTTTTAACTATTATTTGCTCTTTAGATTTGAGATGTATTTTTCTTTTTCTTTTTTTTTCTACTTTTTTGTTTCTCTTAAAGAGAGTATCAAAAATTAATTATTGACTAATTCTTTTTTTGTTGTTGTTTTTTTTTCCTGTTGAAATCATTTCTCAATTCTCGGCGAGTTGATGTAAAATTAATTGTAATAAGATTTGAAAGAGAACGAAAAAAGAGAAAGGAAAAGGGGAGATATAGATATGTTTTTTTTTCTTCCTTTTTTTTTTTTGGTTTGTTTTTTATTACCTGTACGTATAACATACGTGCGTGGGTTCGTTCAACTCACGCACGTTGTTGCGTCAGATCACAAAAAGGGAACCAGTTTGTGAGTGACACCTACGCGTTCAACTTATATTAATCGAATATAAACAGATATATTTTTTTTAAGCGACAAATTCAATATCTGATCGTGAATTTTTTTTTATCGAATATTCGAGGAATATTTATGTATATCTATATAGTCAAAGTTGATAGCTATAGATCATTTATTATTTATTTCATTAACAATAAACTCAATAAATAGTATTCTCACACGTGATCGATAATTTGTGAATGAATTGTTTTTAATGAAAATATTATCAATTTCGTATTATCGATCATTCGAACGATCTTATTGGTATCGTGATAAAGAAAAGAACGAACAATGAGCTAGACGGTATTATGGGTCACCATCGGAGAAAGTTTCGATGCGTCTCCTCGTTCCGTTATTTACCTGGAAGGACCGGAACGAAGGTGGGGGTTGCGGTCACCGTTTTATGATTTCGCAAAGTGGGTCAATTATTGAGGTGCACCGAGCCACGTCGTTTCATTGCTTCGACTAAATGCACGCGAAAAATACTTCGCGTGTTTTATAGTACATAATATATCAAAATAAGTACACTTTATCGAACATTATTTCAAAATCATTATAATTTATCTATTTTAATAACAAATAAAGATTTTATTTTTCTAATGATTTTAATACTATATTTTTTCGTATACACTTCGTTCATTGATTATAATAATTTGGCTATAAAAATTAGCAAAAATTTGATACATTCGAAATAATCGAAAATAAAATAGTGATAAACACTCTCGAAGAGTCGAAATCGAAATAGTGTCGAGTTAAAAACAAATTCTTCTTCCATCCTAATCGAAAAAAAATAATTTCATTGCATCGAAGTCCTATCATTGATTTTGAAAAATATCATTTGTCATTGATAGTGTGTTAAATCGTAAGACTTGGTCGATAGACAACGCTTGCAATTTTGATCAAACGCATAATATGCATCCATAACAGTCAAAGGGTTAAATAAAATAAAAACAAAAAATAATTTCGTTGCATAAAAAACCGATCGTACGATCGGATACGAAAATAGTATAAGTAAGTAAACAAAATTACCGGCTAGGTTTAGTGTTAAATCGTAAGACATGGGTGTGTGTTCCATTTGTTTGATCCTTCGTCGCAAAACAGGAAAGCGACGGAGGATGCGATGATAGCGACGCTGAGATGATCGGTAATGGGAGGCGTGGAGGAGGAGGAGGAGGAGGTGGAAGGGAAGGAGGAGGTGGAGGAGGAGAAAGGGAACGCGATGTGGAGGAGGATGAGGAAGAAGGAAGGGAAGAGAGGAGCTCGGATGGTGGAGGTGGTGGAGGTTTCGGTGGTTGGAGGTCCCATTTGCTTGGTGGGCTGACGCAGCGTGTGAAATCCTGGTACTGGGGCGCCAGGCCCCTCGTAAGTTTTATATTAAACAAAACCAAGTGCCAACGATATACACACACACACATATATATATATTATTTTAAAAAAAAAAAAAATATCTCACAAACAAGTATCACACGCACGGTATATATATATATATATATATATATATAATTATATTTTCATTTTCGTAACTATGTACACGGAAAAAAGCTCGTTCGTTCGTTCGATTATTATTTATTTTTCATTTATTATTTTTTATATATATATATATATATATGTATATTATTTTTTATTTTTTCAATCGCAAAAGACGTCACACATTCGTGTTTCAATATTCCTCGAAATGATGATCGATCGATCGTTTCGTTAATTAATATTTATTTATTTCGTCTAACTGTGTATATGTTTTGTTAAATTATATTAATTGTTATTAATGTTATTATTATTATTATTATTATTATTATTTCTTATATTATTAAAAATATTATTATTATTGTTAACAGCGAGGATTATTTTATAATAGAAAAAAAGAAAAGGAAAAGAAAAGAAAATAAAATAGAAAATTCAGAATGTATTAAGAAATTGTTCATGAAAGTGAAATGACGGATGACAAATTTTTATGATGAAAAAAAAATTGGCCTGTTTAATTATAAAGATACTTTCTAATCGAGAAATAAATAAATATTTAAATACCCTAACGAGGCATCCGAAGTTTCCAAGAGATCGTACGTGAGAAAAAAATGAAACGAAATCGAATCGGGCCGCGCGTTTTCTCTCAATCTAGTTACTGGAAAATTACTATACTTATTCTATTGTATATTATATTTCCTACGCGTGCGTGAAAATGAAAACGAAACGGCGAGTGAACGCGAATCGAAAATTCATATCGGAACGTTCGCGAACGATGACACCTCACTGGCATGAATTTTCCCTTTAATTTAGATATTTCTCTATTTCTCTCTCTTTCTTTCTCTATCTATCTCTTTATCACTCTTTTTTTATCTCTCTTTCTCTCTCTGTCTCTATTTCTATTTATCACCAAAATCGATTTCTTTTTCTGCTCCTAGAGCTCCTAGAAAATATTAGTCGAACTTAGCGTTAGGTGTGTACGTGTTTTTACTTGAATGTTTATTGCACATGCTACTTTATTCGGTTTAATCAATTACTGTTACTACTCGTATATTCAAGCACGATTATCATTATTATCGTCATTATTATTATAATTATTATTAGTAATTTTTCCAATTTTTCTTTTCATTATTTTTATAAGTACAACCTTTATCGTTCCTATTACAATCATTATCTCCGTGATTACTATTATTATTATTATTATTATTATGAATTATTTCGATTTTGTGATTATGATTATGATCATTATTATTATTATTTTTATATACATATATATCTAAACATATATGTATATGTACATAGATGTCTTGGCATGCACGATCACTTTACTCACATCGAAAAAGAGAAGATAAGAAATTAGAAGAAAAGAAAAGACAAATCTAGAAAATTAAATGATAATATCGTTAGAAATAGTTAAATATATGTGTAGTTTAATGACAAGTAGATGAATAGTACAAAGAATTAGAATTAGAGATTAGAGTAAAATTAGTATGTTCAAGGTGTATATTTAGATTAGAAAATTTAGAAAATGAGGATTAGACAAATTAGTTGGTAGATCATTATTCATCTCCCTAAGTTTCCATAGGTATCTCTAATTGTTAATAGATATTTAGACGTTACAAGTTATTTTTTATAAACCAAATAATAGATATAGCAATTTTTAATATACATACAAATATATTATTATCTCGGAGAGTTTCGTAATTATTTTTTATATTTATTTTAGAAAATTTAGAAATTTATATATAGATTAGGAGGTATTAAATCGAAGGTAAAAGCGATGGGAAAAACGCGAAATAAGAAGAAAATCGCGATATTTGCGTGAGCGTAAACGCGCGAATGCGTAGGCAAAACACTTTCACCTTTCGCGAGAGCGCGAAAATGGGATCGTTCGTACGTATATTCGTGATTTAATATAAATAGCTTCTCGATACGATCTCTTCGTTACGCTTTTGGTTATTTGTTCGTTTGCTTTAAAAACAATAAAAAAAAAAAACATTAAAATAAAATAAAATAAATTAAATGTCACGAAGAGAGATAAAACGCAATGCTGTATTCTTATCGAACAAACAAATTTAAAACAATCGAATATTATGAGTGTCTCTAATATAAATTATTACAAATTTCGGTATAATATTTGTTATTACGATAAAGTACGATAGTTAAATAAAAGAAAGAAAGAATTACGGCGCGACAACACCACCACCACCACCACCACCACCACTACCACCACCACTACCACCACCACCACCACTCTTTCTCCGAGCACCAACACCCAATTGCTACCAGCCTATCAGCAAGCATGACTTAATTTTTTGATATACTCTTGCGATCTATATCAATATATATATAAATTTGTACGTACATATATATATAACTTGCATATAGAGGTACTGGAAAAGAGAATTACGCATCGTTGCCGAAAGATTTCCCGGATGCGGGAGAATCTTCTGCGTTTTATTAAAATAAAATTGAAAGAAATGAAAAAAAAGAAAATAAATAAATAAAAAAAGAAAAGAACTATCGAGCCTGAAACTTCATCCGGGAATATTCTTTGACAACCAAGCGCATATGAATTACGCCAGCATAAATGCCTTTTTTTTTAGCTATTGTGTGCTCTCATCGTTTTTTTCGTGTTTTTAATCGACTAATGATCGACCCCCGACTTCGTAAACGAAAACGACGACGTATTTCTTAATAATGTCAATTTAATATTATTATTATTATTATTTGCGATTGACAAATAAAATAATATCGTCGTTTATCGTAGGAAGACGTGAGTCGGGAGAATGTTTCAAAGCATAAAAAAATAAACAAACAAATGACTAGCTTGCGATCCGAGTTCTGAACGTTTCAGGAACTCGCGCACAAACTCTCGCGAAGCTTCGATATGCAAGATGGACAATTACTCGAGGAGGGTGGTTCCGGTGGAGGTTCAATTACCGGAAGTGGAGGACCAGGTGGACCACCTAGAAGACATCACAGTGCTCAAAGATTAACTAGAAGCGAGATGTCCGATAGAAGAGACGAAGATGGTGCTTTAGTTGTACCGGATCATCAAGGAAATCTTAGGATCACTGTAAAAAAAACTAAATCGATTTTGGGTATTGCAATTGAGGGTGGTGCTAACACTAAACATCCTTTGCCGAGGATCATAAATATTCACGTTAGTATTTATCGTTTAATTGTTGTATTCGTATACACATTGATTTGTTAATTATTTCTTTTATGGGGAGGGGTGGATGAATTTGATTATTATAATCAAATAAATATCAGTTTCGTTTTGGATATTATTATTTTATATAGAAGATAGAAATAATAATTATTTTCTATTTTATAATTTCTAATTAATTGATAGATATACAATATTATTTATAAATAATAAATGATATTAATGTGACTTTTGTAACAAAACCGTAGGATAACGGAGCTGCTTACGAAGCTGGTGGTCTGGAAGTCGGTCAGCTTATTCTCGAGGTTGATGGTCACAAAGTAGAAGGTAAAAGCTAACTACTATTTATTTATTTCTAACCTATAATGCATAACAAAAGAAAAAGAAAAAAAATTAATAATAAAATTTATTAACAAAAGTAAATTTTCTTTATGATCGAACAGGACTACATCATCAAGAAGTAGCCAGATTGATAGCAGAATCATTCGCACGACGTGATAGAAACGAAATCGAATTTTTGGTAGTAGAAGCAAAGAAGAGTAACCTCGAACCAAAACCAACGGCATTAATTTTCCTGGAGGCGTAGCAGGAGTCCCCCACCTCCGAGCCGGAACCGCCGTAGTAAGAGGTTATTACTCGACGATATCGAAAATCGGCCGGAAAGAGAATCGAATTTTAACGAAGATCAACAAACAATTAAATATATATATACATATATGAACAAGAACACCGATTTATTCTCAATTCGTGACCGAGTTTTCGATCGGTCGTTCCTCAACCTGGCCCTGGTGGTGGGACCTTTTAATTGAAGACAACAAATCAAAGATAACAAAATATAAGAAATTAATAAATGGAAGAAAAGAAAGAAGATAACGAAGAAAATATGAATAATCTGTGATCGGGGCAATGTTTTCATAATTTTCAACTAATAGGAGCCAGTTTGTAAAACAGAAGCATTTATTTGCTATAGTTGTTTGTAAAGAAGAAAGAAAAAAAGAACGAATCGAGGTTACTAAGTACCGGTTACACTGTTGTATTAAGTTAAATTGAGGCTTCTTGACCTGATAATAGAAACTAGTAAACTTACAAATCCGGGTTTTAAATAAATCTTACAATTAGGTATTGGTTTCTGATCAATTCTATCCTACTGTATGTATTCTAATGACTAATGAAATAATACTTGGATGAACAATTGATTAAAGACAGCAAAATTATTTGACAGAGAAAGAAAGAGGGAGAGACTCGTGAACTGTGCCAAAACTATTTAGAAGAAGTCTCTTTCCTGTTATAGACATACAATATATATATATATATTATACTTACTTACGCGTCATAACTGATGATAAATTGTTAATCGTCGCGAGGTAGATCATTTTGATCGTTGTATCGAGTATGAGATTTTAATTGGAAATGTTTCATTTTAATCAGATTTATCCGAAATATCGATGTAGCGAAGGACACAAAGGAGGTCTCTCATTAAAATCTTATTGATTTTATTTATCTTTCGTTATTGTGTGTGTGAAATATCCTAAATGATAAATAAAATATGTATATATATCATTGATTTCTTTTTTTTTTATGAAAATTTAAATAACCATTAAAAAAGAAAAGTGCATTTCCTTTCTTTTAGTGTATAAAATATTATATCCTAAATAAAAATATATATGTAATATAATATTGATGAAAGATGAAAAATATAATATTATAATACGAATTAAGTTTGGTGTCAGAAAAGTGAGTTTCCTTGGAAACATAATGTGGAATGTGTTTGAACGTTTTATGTAATAAGATGAGCTTACATTAGATAGCGGTAAACGAGTCGTTGGTGAAACATGTCGTAGACGTTAAAGACGTAGTAGTATAAAGCGACTCTACGTCATTGGTAAAGCGGATATTAATATTAGAAAGTCGATAACGGGGCGAATGGCCGACTAGACTAAAGAGAAAAAAATGAAAATAAAAAGAAAGAAAAAAAGAAAGAAAGAGAGAAGGTGTGTGTGTGTGTGTGTATGCGCGAATACATATGTGTATGTTTATTATGTATGTATAAAATAGAGACCCTCCGTGTCGTCCTTCGAAACATTGATATGAGATTACGCATCGATCTAACAAATAAGAGAAAAGAAATAAAAGACAAATTTCACATTGACACGATTTATTCGTATAAAATAAGTATGATAAAGTATTACCAACGAACTACTAATTTAAATTACGAATAAACGAAAACGTACAAAGAAAAGGATGATCTATCGCGCTTTCTTTCAAAGCTTCGATATTCACTTTATTATTTTAATTAATTATTATAATATATAACGAATTGAAAAAAGAATTAACCCGACGTTAAGATAATTATTTAAGATTGCCAACAAGGTGTGTTATCAATGCGTTAAACGATGTTCGAGGAATCGAGGACTGGCTAAATGATACTAATCGATGAGATAATGCGATCATAAAAAGAACAGCAAAAATAAAACATCAACTACGACAGCAACAACAACCAACATCAACAAGAATAACGAATACAGACTTATTATATGGGAATTGTTGAGAATTAACACAAAATATGCATATATATATATATACTAAAATAAAAATAAATATACATATATATATATATATGTATATTATATGATTATTATTATTGTAGTGGAATTGCAAACTGTACCTATCAATGCGTTCGCGCTCGCTATGTGTTTATGCGCGTGTACTGTGACGGCCGAAAGAATATTATAATAATAATAATATTAATAATATATTAATAGGAATAATAATAAACAAAAAAAATAAAAAAACGAAAAAAAGAGAAATTATATATGTGTATACATATACACATATGATAAAAACAAAAGCAAAAGGGTATTTTCAAAAGCTGTTATTTAGAAGCGTATATTACACTTATGTATTTAGCTGAGAAAAGTCTGTGTGATCTTCAATGCAAAAGAAATTGCTAACGATTGTCAGGATAATTTGTTTTTTTTCTATTATAAATTTTCTTTTCCCACTTTTTCATTCAAATAAATAGAAGAAATAGGAATAGTTAATTTGAACTGCACAGTATTAAATCGATCAATCAAAAAAACAACTATTCAATCGTTGGTAATTTCTTCCATGATTGTATGTATCATGCTTGTGTATGCGCATCGCGATTGCGAGAACAACAACAACAACAACAAAAAAGTAATTATTACAGTGAATACAAAAAGAAAAGAAATGTTACATAAAAATAACAAAATAAAAAACAACAAGGAAACAAAAATATTCATATATGTATAAAATAAAACGCGTAAAAAAGAAAAAAAAGAAAAAAAATTATAAAAAAAAAGAAGAAGAAGAAGAAAGAGTATTTAGGCAACGTATAATATTTAGCAATTACGTTTATTAGACAAATGCAAGATGAGGGAGTAACAAAGGACAAATCTGCTAAATGTGCCAAATTGATAAAGAAGAAAAAATAAGATTTTAAAAGAAATACAAAAAAAGGAAAAAAAATAAATAAATAAAGTAGCTTGCAATTTGTCGCGGAATGGTCAATGTGTGTGTATGTACAAGTTTAATTACAATTAAATTAAAACGAACGAAGAATTGCGAAAGATATGAAAGAAAAAAGAAACAGAGAAAAAAACACGAAGATATTATGAAGAAAAAAAAAGATAAACATTTCGTTTCTGATGTATAATCAAATAATTACGTACTATATTTTATGGTCTTATCAAAGACACGAAGAGATTATTGATTAAAGAAGAAGATATAAAAAAGAAGAAGAAGAAGAAAAATAAGAAAACAGCGACAAAAAATAAGGAAAGAAAATTAAAGAAAGATAGAAAATGAAATAAACATGGAAGGGGTAACGGGAGAAAAGTAAAAGAAATTAATTAGAAGGACAAAAAAATAAATGGAAGAGAAGCATATAACATGACGAACACATACATACGCACCGCACGCACGCATGCACTTACGCACTAATTAGTCTAAACGAATTTTTCCTTCATGTTGACGTATATTTTATTTTATTTTATTTTATTTTATTTTTTGTTCGTTTGTTCGTTTCCCTTTTTCTTATATATTTTTTTTTAATAAGAATATTATGCACCGATACTTAACTACAGCGACGTGAGATGATTAATCGCCGTTATGATTGTTTCGAGTGTATCGTCGTAAAGAAAAATGATTAAAAAATTATTCGACGAAGTAAGAAGAAAGACATTTTTGTTCTTCTCGGCGCGTTGGTACTTTGACGTTTAGCTAAAACCGATGATATATTTTTCTAAAGCTGCCTACGAAATATGTCTACGCATAATTCAAGAAAATAATGACGACAAACAAAATAAAGAAAAGGAATTAAAGAAAGAAAGAAAGAAAGAAAGAAATAAAAAAAGAAAGAAAGAGGTACGTTTCGTAAAACTATAAAAAAATCGTCTCTTTCTCAGGCCCTAATAATAATAATAATAATAATAATAATAATAATAATAATAATAATAATAATAATAATAATAATAGTAATTATAATAATGATAATGATAATTATAAATACTAATAATAATATTAATAATAGTAATAATAATACTGATGAAAAAATAATGAAGAAAATAAACTCAGCCGACATATCCGACAATGCCTTACAGCTTTTCCGTAACTAACAAACAAATAAACAACAAACAAATGAATAAATGAACGAACAAACGAACGAGAGATATAAACGATAAAATAATGTGTTGGAGAGATTGAGCATGAAAAAGAAAGGGAAAAAAAAGAAAAAAGAAAAGAAAAAATAAAGATAAGAGAAGTGTAACACTAATAATCTCTCTCGATATTAATTCGTTCATTTTCCGTGTCTTTTGAAAAAAAAAAAATATGCTTCCGTTATCCACTCTCGGGTTAGCTTGATTTAAAACAAGAAAATAAAAATGAATCCATCGTGTTCCAATCTCGGAATAATAAACGCGAAGAAATAGCTTCGTTTACCTTCCTGCCTTCTCTCTACGTTCCCCTTTCATAATATCGTTTCCACGTGATTCCTAAAAAGAAGAAAAAGAAGAATAAGAAGAATAAGAAGAATAAGAAGAATAACGAAACGGAATTTACTGCAAAAATTGCGAACCTATTATGGAAAATAAAAACAGACAAAGAAGACAATTATCAACGATTTCAAATAACAAAAACTAATAAAAAAAAAAAAAATAAAAAAAAAGAAAAGAAAAGAAATTCATCGAGAAAAAGAAAAGATATAACCTGATCGATATAGATAGAGATTATTCTAATTATTATTGTTATCATGATAATTGTAATTAATCGTAAAGTTAACATGTTGTACATACACTAAAAAGATAAGCTCCTTCATATATATATATATATATATTATCTCCCCGTTCATATATGCATTTCATAAGCCATCCCTTTTTTGCAGCAGAATCCAAAAGTAATGAAAGAATACTTATTAATGAAAATAAAATTTAAAAAAAAAGTAAAAATAAAAATGTGAAAAGAGAAAAAAAAATGAAAAAGAAAAGAAAAGAAAAGTAAAAGTAGAAGATGAAGAAGAAAGAAGACAAAAAATTGAAATATAAAAGAAATGCATAAGAAAAGAGTACACGCATCGTGCTAAATATTCAAAGTGCCGAGAGAATGCGTATATATGTATATACGTATATTTAATTAAGGATTCGCCAATACTAATACGCTGTGAAATATATACTTATGTGAAAAAAAAACACAAAAACATACAAATACACGTACGCATACACACGCGCGCTCTCATATTAACACATAATCGCTAATAAAAAGAGAAAGAGAAATAAATTCTTCATTAATATACGAATACATACATACGCACGTGCATAGGAAATATACATATATACATATATTTATATATGTATGCATAATGTATATAGTACGTATACACATGTGCTAGAGTATGTGACATTTTTTTTTCGTTAAAAACATAATACTCGATTGTGTGTTTAAAAACAATTTTATTCTATTGTTATTTCCCTCATCGTTATCATCCTACAAGTTATTTTTATTCATTTTCTTGTTATCATCGTCATCTATATTACTATTATAATAATAATAAATATTATTATTACTAGTATTAATATTATTATTATTGTTATTATTAACGTCACATGATGAAAATCATCATCATTATTATTCACTGTTAATATCGTTGTTATTATTATTATTATTCATTCTTATTACGATTATCGTATCGATAACAAATATTATT